TCTGTGTGAAATAGCAATCGGTTGACATTTTCATCATTAGCAACACAAAGCTGATTGAATAATCTGTTATTTAAAGAGCTTTTTCGGATTTTATTGACTGCTGTTATGATATATTGCAGATATCGAGAGAGGCGCTCGCTCACATTTTTCGCAACCAAATGTTGCCTATGAATGACGCAATGTACAGCGAGCACATCTGGGATTTTATTTTTTAAGTACGCTATGAAGCCTTTGTGACGTCTTGTCATAGCCGGAGCGCCATCCGTAGCAGCAGATATAATATTCTTCAGTGGCATTTCTTTCTCATCACAAAATTTTTCCAGTATATTTCGTATGGTTTCTCCTTTTGTATCCGTATCTAAATTTCTGGCAGATAGTAGTTCTCGATATATTTTCTCATTTTTAATAAACCTCACGTATGACAACAACAATGCTTCATTGGTTGGTAAAGTGGACTCATCTAACTGAATTGAGAATTAAGAAGTCTTCATATGATTGCACAATGACTCTTCAATGTTTTCAGCCATGTCATCAATCCGTCTTTGCACGGAACTATTGCTCAAAGGAATTTTCCGGATAATATCTGCCACTGGTTTATGGAGCACATTCTTTTATTGCCATTCATCTGAATGTAAAATGCATCCCTTCAAATGATCTTATAGCCTTGAGGGTTTCATCGCTTCATTCGAAAATGTTTTAGACAAAGAAGGCACATAGGCGAAGATGGATTTGTGAGATTTTCAATAAATCCATTTTTTATATATTTCGCGCTATACTGCCGTTTCTTCTTTTTTGCTTCCGACATAATTTTGTCTTCAAAAATGCCGAAGTAAAGAATCGAGTATTAAAAAATTGATAATGACTCCAATCAACAGTATACACCACCGCACGTACAGCACTTCACCTAGCTAGTCACTAACTAAATTTACTTGTTTTCGTAATATCGTCGAATGACAGTACTGGCTGGATGGCGCGCGCGCTCTTATATGAGGCAGCGGGCGGGCCTAGTACTTTCGAAAATGGAGACTAGAAACTTCTTGCTTCGCATTGAAGCTTACCGCCATCTATTGTACAGTTTGAAAACTATCGAATAGGAAATAATTACTGTCTAGTCCCCTAGATGGCGTTACACGAGAAAACGCACGTCAAGCGTAAAGGAGCGTTAAAGTTTGTGTTAAAAACAAAAAAAAGGACTACAAGAACTTTGTAGCCACGGACTACAAGAACTGTGAATTGGAGGAGGCGGTTCTCGAAGAAATTAGTGAACATCCAGAGACAAGTACAAGAAAAATTTGTCAAACTTCAAAAGTGAGTCACCTGACAGTTTACAAAATTTTAAAGGAACAGCAATTATATCCTTATCATATTCAGCGTGTCCAGGCACTTACGCTACGTGATTTCCAACCATGAATCGAATTCGCTCAATGGCTTCAAAGAAAAGTCGAACAACATCCGCAAATTTTATCGAAAATTCTCTTCACAGATGAGGCTAAGTTTTCAAGAAATGGTATCATGAACTTCCATAATAACCACATCTGGGCTGAAGATAACCCACATGCGATAACGCAAACTCATTTCCAAGACAGATTCTCTTTTAATGTATGGGTAGGCATAATTGGGGATTATTTAATTGGGCCCTATTTTCTCCCCTTACGTTTGAATGGAGATGCTTACCTACATTTTTTTGGAATACGAGCTTACCCAACTCATAGAAAATGTCCCCATTGGTCTCCGAAATCACTCTTGGTTCATGTATGATGGAGCTCCTGCTCATTTTAGTGTGATAGCAAGACATTTTTTAGACGTAGCATATTCCCAACGATGGATAGGAAGAGAAGGCACTGAGCATTGGCCCCCGAGGTCACCGGACCTCAATCCCGTCGATTTTTTCTTTTGGAGACACCTAAAATCACTCGTTTATGCTAGCCTCATTGAAAACGAGGAAATGCTGCGGGATCGCATCATAACTTGCTGCGAAACGATAAGAAACACTCTGGGCATTTTTCAACGGGTGCGGAATTCTTTGATGAGGAGAGCAGAAGCTGGTATTACTGTTGGGAGTCGTCACATTGAACAGTTGTTGTAATAGTTGTTTCGTTCAATTTTTATATGTTTATTTTCCTAATAAATAACATAGTACTTGTCCGAATTGTTTTTTACAAATGTAGCACTTTCTAATTGAATAATTCAACCTGACAATTTTTTTCAATTTGAATTGAATAACCAGTTAGTTAATGCTCAGTTTAGAAGAAGTCTGTATGGGTATACTGCGTATAAAGTTTCATGAAAATAACTCAAATTGCAAAAAGCTTATGACAAAAACCCACCATGTTTTGAAAAATTTCAACAATCTCTATTTCGAAAATGAATCATTCTTCGTTAAACATTTAATAGGGAAAAGTTGTTTATTTTGACGAGATCCACCACATACTTAGTTTTTGTAATGTTCTCAGCAACTTTACTTAGCGCCCTAGGAGCTAAGTAATATGCATCGGTATAGAAAATTGTAAATATCTCGAAAACGATCACCTCCAGCGTTGTTGAGGAGGTGTACCTTTTTTACTTGGAAAAGGTGTGGGAATTAGGTTTTTTCATGAAAATTACCAAAAGTTTACTGTCAAAAAAGTTAGGGCAATTTGAAATAAATAATGACAGCGTACGCAGCGCCCTCTAGATGTTACATGATAATTATTACAAAATTATGATTTCCCACGTCAAAAAAACCCCAGGTACTGAATTTCGTGCAAATAACTCATTTTTTGCAAGAATTATTTTCAAAAAGCGAACAAAAAATTCAATTTCAACACCCCGTATCTCTGAAACAACGCGTTTTCGGACACAAGTTCATATAGACTCTTTCTCTAAACAAATTTTCTGTATAAATTCGTATGAAATAATGATTTCTTATAATTTATACTATTATAAACCATTTGTGATGTCAAATGATATCAGATATTGATAATAACATATTTTGGTCTACAAAAAAGTCCGCGATGGTATTTGTCTCTTAGAGATAACACTGTTTGGAACCTTTAATGTGGTAATGAATATTACTGGAGTTTTTCCCCAATATCAAACCATTATTTAACATTTCGACACGTGTTTATTTCACCAAGTGATCATTTTAAAGAGGAGGATCTAATCTTCCTCTTAAAGATGATCACTTGGTGATCGAAACACATGTCGAGGTGTTGAAATGAGGGTTTGGCGTCAGGATAAAACTCCAGTAATATTCATTATTACACCAAAGGTTCCAGCACTGCATCACAAGTACATATTTCATTTTATACAAATTTACAATGATACAGAATTTATTTAATTGTATTGTATAAAAACCAAATATTTGTACCAAATATCAGATCAATCTGTCAACAGGAAAGGAGTTAAACTTCAGTTATTAAATTTAACCTAAAACCTGAAGACACAGAATATAACTCACCAGTAATCCTCTTTTCCAATAACACATCGATATCTCGTCCAAAATTCACTTAATTTTCCCCGATTCACAAACTTTTCACCTCATTATCACTCAGTGGCATAGCCACACAAGTCATGTATGAATATAAGTCATGAATATTATGAAGCACACTCTACCTGTTTTGTTTTACAAAACACCCGTGGTTTTTCTATATGAATCCTCGGAAACAGTGAATAATGATTTGCAATAATTGCTAACAGGTTTTTTTTATTCATCGGCCACAAGAATTCAGAAGTCAATCTGTGTTTTGAAATGTTCTTGTTTGAATAGTTTTCTCGCTGAACAGCTGTGCATAATTTGTTTGTATGTTTTCAGCTGCTGTATTTGAATATAATTCTTTTTGAAAATTACTGAAGTTTTATCCCAAAACCAAACCATTGTTTTTAACACCTCAACACCATCTGATTAATCTTCCTCTTGAAGATGAACACTTGGTGATCGAAACAAGTGTCGAGGTGTTGAAATGAGGGTTTGGTATTGGGAGAAAATTCCAGTAATATTCACCATTTTTCTTCCTCGAGAAAAAATGGCTTATTTAAGAAGCGATTTTAAGGAATACAGCATTTATCCTCATCCAATTATGTATCTCAACTAAATTGTGCATTTAATATAGATCAATATGGCCCTTCAGAGCATGTAATTTAAATTGATATTTTCGAAGATATAACAGATTCAAAATGCAGGGATATAGCGGTTGCGGTGGTACCGGCATTCGACGGCGTGTGCCTATTAATAGGGCGCCGAAAACCGCGCTTCTCCCTTATAGTACTTCATGAATAGCACCGATCGCACACGTTTATATATTTAATATCATCATTGCACCCGTACGGAGCCGGGGCGAGCGCTAGTTCTGATATGTTTAGACTTTTGAAAATTACTTGATTTAGTATATGCGTATGATTGGTAGACTGTTTTGTAGTTCAAATGTGATATGAATGAAGTGCTAGCAATGTAGAATAATGGAGTGAAAGAATATAGGTTAGGTTTAAATAACAGTACGTGATGGAGCATTTTTCTTTTTTCCATTGTCATTGTTATGTTATTAGGTGTAAGATAACATGTAAGTAATTGAGTATAGTGTGCAAAGCAATAAACGATTCTCAATTTATTAGAAAAAAACCATCACGATAAATAACAAAACGGTCATTAACAGTTTTTAGTTGAAGACCGAGTCATTAGTCAATTTCAACACTGAACAAGGCGCTCCTCTTGTGCGATTCCTTCGTCTGCAGTGGATTGATTCAAAATATTCCGCAGTCTAATTGCATTATCGCTTCGTTGTGAAACAATCGATATTCTCGCTTGTGGCATCGTGAATAATACTTTGATTGATATTGCTGATTTTGCTTTTATGCCATAATAATCATTAATGTGCCCAAAATCACAAATATCTTAACCTCAATTGTCTTTCCATACACCACAACTATCATAACCAGATAAACCAAAATGTTAATTCACAGTTATTTTTTCATTGCTTCATTCAAATTATTTTGGTGATCTCTGATAAAATATTTTTTCTCAGGTTTGCTTGGAGAGAGGTTGGAGAGAATACAATTGTGAGAATGACAATTGGAACCTTTGGTGGAGAACTTCCGGTTTTCCCGTGAGTCATCATAGGAGTCTTTACGCTTGGCAGGTGACGTATTCCTAACATTTCATTGTTTCCATAAAAATAGCAGAGTATACAACATCAAATTTGCACTTGCAATACCTTTTTTTGAAAGAAAAATATTTGGGAAATTTCAAGAAATCAATGCAGCATTGAATCTAGTAGTGAATATTTGTCGAAAGATGGTGACGATAAAAAAATTGTTACATGAATACTTATTCTTGAAGTATCTGTCCCATTCCAAATTGTTCGTTGTTCATCTTTCAAAATTATTCGAAATAGAAACCAGGTGAATATTAGATTAATAATAGATAGTCACTGACATATGGATTAGAAATTTAAATCACACAATACTAGAAATTCATATATTGAACCTTATCTCATAACCCTCATTACCTGAGCTATCGATGTGTAGGTATAATAGACCTATTATGGACCTATCTGAGGATGCTAACGTGGTTAGCGAAACGTGCGTCGAAAAACAGTGTTTTTGTTTTCGTATAAGAAAAGGTTTTCTTTGGATTCAGTTCACTCCAGAATTCCAATTTTACCTTTCAATATGTAATTTACTAACTGTGAAATATAAAGTGACTACAACAATGGAAACAACTATTTGTGTAATTGTGATGCACTGTTTGAAACCTTTGGTGTGGTAATGAATATTATTGGAGTTTTTTCCCAACAATAAACCGTTATTTTATCACTTCGACTCGTGTTTCGATCACCAAGTGATCATCTTCAAGAGGAAGATCAAATTGATCAGTTTAATAGGTTAGGTTAGGTATGCTCCGAAGTAAGTGGGTCTATTCGACCTTCGACCGCAACCCGCAAGGGTTTATTATGAGTCACACCTATTCACACTCGACCAAATAAATCCAGCTTCTTAACGAAGCCGATTAGTTTGTATGGTGAGTGCTCAGATGATAAAAGTACGACTCTGCCGAACTCTAAAAACCTGATTCGGTTCCCAGGGGGCAGGTACAAAGTATATACTATGCTGTTTCATCATTGATGAGGTAGTCAGATAGAGTTGAGGTGCAAGATTTCCACCTTGATACCCGCATCAACCTTCCCATATGAGGGTTTTTGCGCGTCAGCTACACCTAACGGTGCCTTAGATTCAACCGTTCAGGGCTTTTTCGCCTCTGCTTTTGGTGAATCATCACTTGAGCGCAAACGTTTGCTAACTTGCTCATGGAGGTTTGTTCCTCCACCTGAGACAGATTCTGCATACGCCGCTCAAGAATTTGATGCAAAGCGGTTTTATAAAGTACACCGCAGCTAAGAAACAACTGAGTCGTCTCATGGCTGCACCACCAACCCTTTTTTTTAGGTTCAGTTATTGAATCAGGAGTTGGGGAGTTGAGAAGCTCTCGCTCCTGAACTAAGTTTACACGGAAGTCAGTTGGAGTCGTAAACTCGACATCCACCTATGTAGACTCGCTCCTGAACTAAATTTATAGGGAGGTCAGTTGAAGTCGTAAACTCGACATCCATCTCCTCTGTAGATTCTCTCCTCATCTAAGTTTACAGGGAGGTTACGTGGAGTTGTAAGCTCGACATCCATCTTCTCTATAGACTCAGCGTCATAAAGAATTTTTAAGTTTATTCTGTCCATACTGTCCATACTCTGTCCCACGAGTAGCTAGGGAAAGAAGGTTAATCACGGCAGACCCCGCATTACCGTGACAAGGCGATGCTACGACGAGAGGGCGCCCGGTAGCGCGAAGATTCCGTAGAGACAGCTGATAGGCTTAGTGTCATTCATCCTCTCAGCACGGATACACACACCTTAGGATTAAGCCATCGTTGGGATGCCATTCAGTTAGGAAATAACAGAACCACAAGTGATTCTGTCATTCCCGTATCCAGCGGGGATACGTGGAGGCAAGCATCCGATGACCGGTTTGCTCAACCCTCACATCTCAAGCCAATGCACTCGCCAAAAACAGCATGCACAGTGGTTGAGGCATGAAGATGAACAATGTACCTTCACAATAGGTTCTGGTGAATGCCCGTCAAAAACAATTACTTCCCCGGCTAATACTACTCTGGGAATTGAATTATATCCAAGAGGAATCCATGCAAAATACCTTACAGAGGTTAGTCTTACAGATGTTTGTCGTTCATGTGTTTGCTATTAATGCTTTTGTAATTTGCAATGCTAATAATCCTGATCCCACAACACCACCTAAGAAGTTTCTTCGAATACTGGCGATGTCCCTGGCAAATAAGTATTGAAAAGGGCGTGCTTGTTGGGAATATAAATGAAATTTAAATTGAATTTCCTAAACATTGTTACGCCACTGTGTAATTGTCTATGTCTGGTTGTGAAGGAATACCTACCAATAGCGTGGGTCCTGTTTCCTTTACCTCTCGCTGAAAGAGTACCCTGGTTCGACAGTATGGTTTAAATATAACGTAAGAAAGGTCTGGTTAATTACGAAGAGTTAGTTTATTGTGGAGAATATCAAAGGTTCTCATTTGTATAAATTAGTGATAGTATTTGTCACACCAAATCACCTCACATCACATCACATCAAACCACGCAATTGTCTTATTCGACATTCTGTGAAATCTGTAAACTAGGTGTGACAGAATAAAGTGTGTTACTTAATTACCTACGTCGCATTGTTTAATAGTATACAGTCCACTAGAAGGGGGCCAGCAAGCCCAAAAACCAAAATTGGGACCCAGCAGTGTTATTTCCATCAATTTACCGAGGATTATTAGGTTGAGGTTGCAAGAAATCTGTGGTTTGGAGCCAGAACAAGGACCGCCAGAGAGGGGACCGGGGCTATTGGTTGGTGTGCCGTGTGCGATTGGAAAAGGAACAGACAAACCAAATACTTTTGCGAGCATTGTGCAAAATATTTATGTTCACAACACATACATCCAATGTGCGGTACCTGTTTCGAAAACTTGCTGTAATATTTTATGTCCAGTTTTTATGTTATTTTTTGAATCAAATGTATTTTCAGAAGTTATATAAGCTTTCTGTTAGTTAATCATTTCCACATTTATAAGTTTCAATGTATTAAAGTACTCATATGAGAAGAAATGTTCTCTACTTGATTTATTTGTTTTCATAGAGACCTAAATTTTGCTGCGAGTGATGAAAGGTTAGGTAGGTAGGTCTGAAGTGAGTGAGTCTATTCGATCCTCCACCGCAAGCTACAAGGGTTTATTGTGACTCCCACATATTCACACTCGGCCAAATAAACCCATATTCTTAACGAAGCCGATGGTGAGTGGTCTTTCAGGTCAAATGGTGAGAGTACGGATCTACCGAACTTTAAGAACCTGATTCGGTCCCCAGCGGGGCAGGCACTAACTATATGACCTGCTGTTTCATCATTTTCCAGACAGAAGCGACACACACTGTTTTTCAACAGTGCAAGTCTCTGCATATGATTCAAATGAGAGTGACCTGTAAGGAGGCCTGTTAGACATCGTAGTTCATCCCTACTGTAGTCCAACAACTGTTTGGTATCAAGTTTCGAAGGGTGAATAAACGCCTTGGAGAGAGCCAATCCTGGAAGGCTCTGCCAGGAGTCCATAAATCTTCTTGCCATTCAGGTGTTCAGTGTTTCTTTAGAAAAGACCAAAGCGATGTGAATGACATGTTCTGGTCCCGTAATGAATCCGCTTGCAGCACCCTTTTTTGCAAGAGAGTCAGCAGCTTCATTGCCTTTCAGGCCAGTATGGCTAGGAATCCAGACCAGAGACAATCTGTTGAGTCTTCCTATCGAGGAGGCTCGTTTTTGACAGTTTGCTACCAATTTAGACGTTGCTCGGTAGGAGCCAAGAGGTTCCAATACTGCTTGACTGTCCGAGGAATATTTTTATTGACTTGTGTGTGAGGTTGAATTTATCCAACCTCTCCGCACACAATTCGATAGCGTAAATTTCCGCTTGAAATACAGTCGCATAAGTTCCTAGGCAGGTAGATAATTCTGTCCTGGGTCTGCGACTAAAAACAACGGCACCAGAACCAGAAGGTGTTTTTGATCCATCTGTGAACCAACAACTATCTGCTCTTAATATTTTCTTCTCCCGGAGGATCCATTCCTCTCTACTCGGGAATAGTACTTCATGAGGCAGTTCGTAGTTGACAGTTGGAAGCATGAAGTAAGAAGTCATTTCCAGAATGCTGTGACTTCCGGTGTCAACCAACAGTCTGTTGCACTCTTCATTGAATTGATTTGTGCAATATGCAATGTGCACAAGTCTGTGTGCAGTCCATCTACATACAAACTTGTATGCTCTCTCTCTCTCCAGAAACATGTGGGAAGGAGATAGATCTAGAAGGATTTCCATGGCCGCTGACGGTGTGGTACTGATGGAACCACTGATAGCCAGACAAGCCTGTCGCTGTAAGCCAGAGAGCTACGCCTGAGCCGTTTTCTATAAAGCCTTCGACCACCAAGCAATTGCACTATAAGTCATCATTGGTCTGACAATCATCACATAAATCCAATGGATTTGTTTGGGACCTAAACCCCAAGTTTTGCCACAAATCCTTCGACATGTCCATAGAGACAGTCTGGCTTTGTGTAAAACTTTTTCCAAGTGAGCTTTCCATAAGAGTCCTTGATAAGAGACCCCCAGGTGGGTCTCTCATTAAGGACAATGCCAATATATGATGGAAAGTTGAGGATGGTACCAAGATCTGCTCAGATCTAAATAAACACTCAGGTTTTCGAATAGTCATGAAATTCAGGTGCCTTTTGAGGTTCATTTCTCCAAAGAAATAATTTTTGGTACTTTTTATTTGGTGGCAAAAAACGCTAAATTACATTTTTTTCCAGTATTTGAATCATATCCCGAAGGGAGCTGCAATATGCAGAAAAGACAACCTTGTTCGATATCTGAGATGTATGCGGAAAGTATACGGTTCCATTTATGATTTTAGGTGAGTGTTTTTTCCAATATAATCAAAGTCATATTCAGAGTTCCACTTGAAGGACTATCAACCTCTTGAGTGCAAATGTTTTTAAATTTATTTTTGCAGTCCTCATGGTTACAATCTCCCATTAGAATTTACCAAATTAGCAGCAGAATGTAGCAGAGGAAGACCAACTAGCGGCAAAGAGGACGTCAACAAATACTTCGAAGAAAAACCCATTTGGATTTGTAAACCGGTTGCCCAAAGCCAGGGACGAGGAATATTTTTATTCAGGGTGAGTTTTCAGCTATAGATGTATTTTCAAAAATATCATTCAATTGGAGATATAAAGCAAGTTATCTAGAATAGAACTAGCTCTGTAGTTTCAGATACAAACTGGAAAATGTTTCGGAAGGGCGTTTTTTTCTATTTTTTATCTGAAAGTAACTCCTATGCATCATCTATACATTTTGGTGAAGAGTTTATTTTGAAATTATTTATTTTCCACATTTTTGTGTACAAGCCAAGTAGTACGCCAAAAGTTTTCTCTCCCAAAAATCAAAAAATATAATTGAATAATTCATTCAGTGATAATAATGTTTGTTCGACGATGAGTAGAACAAGTCAATCTCAACTAATGTTTGAATAACCTTTTTTTTCGTATTTGATAGTTTCCGTTTGGTTGGTTTCCGGGTTTTGTCATGGTATTCTTTAGTTACAATCTCCAAACGTTCTAACTGCAACTGCGGCAGTCATCTTCAGTGGCGTGGTTGAAGTACCACGCCACTGAAGATGACTATTTCCACACTAGAATCCATAATGCCGGAAATTAATTTTCGAGAGACTAGTCAGGCGAATTTTGAAACAGCTCAATATCACCAAGGCGTCTGGCTCTGATGAAGTGCCCGTCATCGTACTTAAAAAGTGCGCAAATGAACTCGCACCAGTATTTTGCAGACTTTTCAACCTGTCTTACAAGGAAGGGGTTTTTTCTTCTTGTTGGAAAATTGCCCGCGTTCAGCCTATTCCCAAAAAGGGAAAAAAATCTTCCAAATAACTGTAGACCAGTGGCTTTGCTATCAGTGATATCAAAAATCATGGATAAAGTCTTAAACCACCATATCTCCAAATATTTGGAAGGTTTGAACATCTTGAGCGATCAATCTGGCTTTCGGAAACAAAGATCAACAAGCGTCCTTCTATCGTATGTTACCCATATTTTGATTAACCCAATCGAGTCACTAGCAGGGTAAGTGACTGTCGATGGATATCTCTCGAATATTTTCATCATCAACTCTGGTGTTTCCCAGGGATCTATATTGTCTCCAAACTTCTTTTTATTGTATATCAACGACTTATTGTAAAAAACTAAAAATCCAATATATTGCTTTGCTGACTGAAGCATACTTCTTTCTTCATTCCATTTGGATTCAAGGACATCGGTTACAGAGGCACATATTCACCGGCAGCAGGAGGTTGCAAATCTCAATGAGGAACTAGAAGTGATTTCAAATTGGGGTGAAAGTAACCAGGATTCAATTCAATAAACCCAGGCATCGGTTTTCTCCAAGAAGATAAATGTCTCCGAACCGGATGTAAGTGTCAGGTTAGACAATTCCGCTTTCTGCGTTGATAAGTTTGTTGGGGGTTAAAATAGACACCAATATGTCTTGGCACAATCATGTCGCCGGAATTACAAAGCTGCTTCTCAAAAGCTTGGAACACGGTTCCGAACCAGAAAAGTATACACACCTCAGCAACTTTTGATGCTTTATAAAGCTCAAATCAGACCTTCTTTGGAGTATTGTTCTCATGTATGTAGCTCTGCCCCCAAACATACCCTGAAGTTGCTGGATTCCATCCAGAAAGGAGCCATCCGCCTGATTGGAGACGCGAACATTACGTGCAACCTTAATAGCCTAAAACATGGATTTCTTTTTTTCACGAGAAGTGTTCAAGTACCGCGACGGACTGTGGCTGCTCATCGTTTTGAGGTTCAACTAAGTACACCTCTGACAAACCCCAAGGTGACATCCAAACTGGTCTGGGAATGACATGAAGAACTGAATGAACTTGCAAACAGAAACAAATCAACTTTGTACTGGGTGCCGGGGCATTCTGGAATCACAAGTAATGATAAAGCTGATGAATGCGCTAGACACGGATCATCAACTTCATATATAGGTCCTGAACCAGCTCTGGGGGTATCAAAATCATTGGTACGAAACCAGATTAGGACATGGATCAATAAGAAGCACACAGAGTACTGGACAAAAGTACCTGGCAACAAACACAGTAGAATCTTCATTAGGGAACCGAGAGAAAAGAACCGAAGAACTACTTCAATATAGTAGGGATCGGCTCAGAATAATTACAGGGTTACTAACCGGTTATTGTCCGCTTAGAAGACACCTGAATAAAATGGGGCTGTACAATGGAAACCTCAGCTGCAGATTATGCAACGAAGGGATAGAAACAGCTCTACAGATCTTATGCGAATGTGAGGAACTGAATCACAGGAGGCAGGCAATATACAGTGTCACCGATAAAGTCCGCATCAAATGGGAAAATTACATAAATTGTAAACAACTTTTGTAAAATACTATGTCAACCGCTAATAACCTTGATGGTTGATGCGGATATTTTGTAAATAAAAAAAAAATGGGAAACTTTTTTATTTATCGTTTTATGTGAAATTTGATTTTGGCAGTAGATTTTGCTTAAGAAATGATGTCAAATGGCGTCTACAAAATAGGTTAC